AAACAAACATCTTTAAGATGTTTTCTTTACATGTGAAGTAAAGAAAACAGTTACAAACTGAAACAGGGAGTGTTTCTGGACCAGTGTTGTTTACATCTTGTGAAATGGTCTATACAACGCTAAAGTGATTGAAAAGCATACAGAGCCGTCGCTCTCGCACTAGCTTGATGTTATTCACCGGTCGCTCTGTGCAGCGCCGGTCCAAGTCGAACAAGCTTATGTCGCGCGAAAAGAAAACACACGTCACATACGGGCACGAGGCTGCATTGCGCATGCGTCGAACCGTGAGACGCACACACGCTCCGAACCGAGACAAGCGAACCGAACGGTTCGGGTGTTTTTTCATGTACCGTGCCACCCCTAGTTATAACCACCATGTTAGTTATAATGGAAAGTCCAAATAGGGACATTAACACCGCTCTGTTAACAAATTTTTTTTTTTTTCTTCACAATTGCTTATGTTTATGTTCAGACACTAAATATTACACACTACTTACTTACACTACTTACATAAGGAGAAATTAAAGGAAAAATGTGGCTTCAATACAAGTTAGGCTTAATGGACAGCTTGTGGTACAATGTTTATTATCAAGTCATGTTTATTTATATATCGCTTTATACAACACTGATTGTTTCAAAGCAGATTTACATTGTGTCCAATCAAGACACGATGTGATAAGATTGGATCCAAACAATTTATCTGTTATTTACTCTTAATTTCAATTACAAAAACAAAATAACACAACAATTTTTATTGTGATCTTTTGTTACTGTGTCACAGTAACATGTTACTGTGAAATATAAAAGTCAAAAAAATTAGAGTTCTTGTCATAACCAGCTGCGACAGTGATATGCAAAGAGCTACAGTGGAATTCTATTTATAGAAAACAACAAAAGATTACAATAAAAATTGTTTTGTTATTTTATTTAGTTGAAAAAATTTTGTGGCACTGTTAATTTTATTCTAATCTTTTTTTTTTTTTTACACACATATATTTTGTTTTCCGCCTATACAATATTTTATTGTTCTTAATTAACTTAAACTGTTTAACTACTCACTACAATTAATTATCAATCTTTAAACTAATGCAATGGGTTTAATTTCGCCATTTGAAATGCCAGATGTGACCATTTCCAACGCATTTTGATGATGGTGGGGCGAAGGAGGTGCATGTCGCCATAGTGAGAAGTACCAGCCAGGTAAGAAAATCTATTTATTCATTTTCTATTTTTTAAGTCTTGAGTTCTGAAAGCTTGTTTTAATGTTTTGTTTAGCAGCCGAGTATTGATTTCGATGAAATATGAGGAATATTGCAAAATTAATGGATGAATGCATACGGTTGTAAAATGTGTGTTTAATTGCCTTTGTGGAAAGCTCATTATTCTCTGTAGTGTATGACAATACTTATGCTATGGAACAAAAGAATTGGACAACATATTAAGTTAAGTAGATCGCTTCAATCAACACCCTTAACTGGGTTGACCCCTTACTGGGTCGACATTTCATTCAGTAACATTAGGCAGTTTTGATGTATGCTTGTGCATAAGCAACGCTTCTACCAATTGTTTCTGCTTCTTCACCCGTGTATGATCCAGAGATTTTTAGGGCATTATAACATTTTTTTTGCCATATCACCATTTTTTATCACCAACATTTACTATGTACAACTTTTGGTTCTAGTACACAACTTCCTGGGTCATTGTATGGTAATATCGGCATATGGTAAGGGTCGTGAAGCATCAGTGACCTACTCCTGGTTGATTCAAAGTCAATGGGCCCTAATTTAACGCAAGGGTCCAGCGTGAAGCGCGAGTAACTTTGTGGGCGGGTCTTGGGCGCTGTTGCTATTTAACCGAAGTGTGCAAAAAAGAGTGTTCACAGCCGAGGAGACTGACGTTCTTGTCAGGGCAGTGAAAGACAAAGAAGTGATGTTGTGTGGGGATGGGAGATTTTTTTTTCTTGACGGACAAACTAATTTGTCAGATGTCCTTAAACATGCGTCTTGCCACTATTGGGCAAACAGGTCTGATCCATCATTAGGCATAAAATAAAAAGTTTGGTTCCGGTTGTTTGTCAGTTGAGGTCATGCGTGAGATTTTTTTTCCCTCAGTGGTAGTAAGAAATATTGGAAAGATACTAGGCTACTTATATAAACATAACACTAAATGTCCAATAGGTGGCGGCAGGCAGCCATATTAATGAGTCATTGATTCATTAATTCAAACGATTCGTTTAAATGGTTGATTCATTCAAGAATGAGACAGATGTTAATGAATGGGTCATTGAATCTTTGACTCAACCGATTCGTTCAAAATGGTGAATCATTCATGGAGGTTATAGAGAATAAGAATATCTCCTCCCAGTTGCCCACTGCATTAAAGTTTGGAAATACTGTTACCACAGATAAATTCTCAATAATCCAAAATTTTAACAAGCATTTTGCTGTGGCTGCTCATGCTTCTCATTTGGCTGCTCCTATCTTGGCTATGAGCTCTGTACCTGCCACACCAACTTGCTCAAGCCATCCTAACTTTTCCTTTACGCAAATCCGGACAGCTGATGTTTTGAAAGAGCTGTTAAATCTAGATCCTTATAAATCTGCTGGTCTTGACAATCTGGACCCTTTCTTTCTAAAATTATCTGCGAAAATGATTGCAACTCCGATTACCAGCCTATTTAACCTTTCTTTTGTATCGTGTGAGATCCCTAGAGACTGGAAAGCTGATGCGGTCATCACCCTTTCCAAAGGGGGAGACACTCTAGATCCGAATTGTTATAGACCGATATCTATCCTGCCATGTCTTGCTAAATTCTTTAAATGTCAGGTTAATAAACAGATTATTGAATATTTTGAATCCCATCATATTTTCTCTGCTATGCAATCTGATTTTCGAGTTGGTCACGGATGCACTTCAGCTACGTTTAAGGTACTTAACGATATCATAACCTCATAACAGACGAGACAATCATAACAGACGAGACGGAGCTGCGCAGCCGAAGCATGGCAGTTGATCAGTGTTCGGATGTACACATGAATAAAAAAGTATATTTTAGTTCCTTCGTCCGAGCCTCTGAAGAAACAATGGATTAATTTTATTTTCTCTGGAAATTTTCAAACATTTAACCGACGACTTGTTTGCTCAACTTGCTAAGAGCTGGCCTCGGATCGAGCTGATGTGTTGTTGTTCAAGTTCAGACAGGTAATCTTTCACTTTAAAATCATTCAATACTGTTTTTGCATCAGTAAGTCAGGCCAGTGATTAAAAATCAACTTCACATCGTTTCTTTTAGTAGGATGATAAAAAATTTTTTATTTAAATTGTGAATTATATACAGAAAGAAAGCGATCAAAGAACAATCACAGCGCGAGTTTGTCTGGACACTTGCCAAACTCGTTATGAATTCAATGACGCACGTTACACTGCACAACGAAACTCTAACGTTAACTGTATTTACATCATCGTGTCTACTGCATTAGAGAGTAGAGAGACTGCATTGCAATCTTCATTCTCGCGATCGACACACTCACTGTCCTTTGCTTGCTCAATCACAGCAACACTTTATGTGATGGGAATAGATCTAAATACTTCAAAAACCTCTCACGATTCGTTAATCTCAATCGATAGCTGTAATAGTAAAAAAAAAACTATAATAGCTGTAGTAAAATTATTCGAGAGATTTGAATTATTATACATTCTTTTTGATGTCTAATAATAATAAAAAAAATTACATGCCCACTCCGCTACAGTAGCAGGTAGTGTACTTTTATCCCCCCTCTCCCTAAAAAAAAAATCCTAGGGGAAACAATGCAGTTGCTGGTGGGAAATTTATGAACAATTTTACATTGTGCCCTTTTAATACAACTTCCTTCTAATCTAGAGAGCATGTTTGATTTAGTTTTTACCCCAAAGTGTTAATTAATACATCAATTAACAAGCATGTACTGACGTGTATTTAAGATGGTATATTCATGCAGGAATTCATATGACTCATGTCGTCAAGGTTAGTTCTTCATTAGTACATGTCTTAACTCATCATTAGTTCAAAGGACGGAAATTATTAATTCAGGTATTAGTACAAGATTATTCATGTACTGTTCCTGTAAAGTGTTGGCCACTGACATAGCTAACTTAAGAGTAGAGATGCACAATTAATCAAATTTCTAATCGCAATTACAATTACGGATGCCACAATTAAAAATCGTTCAAATCCACGTTTACAAAAAAAAAGTCCACTTACATTATTCTGCGTTCTTAAGAGGTGTGTTTAGAGCGTGTTACGTTGTGAGAGGTGAATCACGACTACTTCAGAGAACCCACCACAACAGAAAATACCAGTGACGTAAGTGTAGAGTTCGTAAGAGTTCCTATTGGCTGTGCAAATGTAACCAGGAAAATGGCCATAGGGGAACATTAGTTCTTAGGGAACTGCTCTGGTGGCTAGTTCCTATAACTTAAGTTCTTAGAATTACACAGTGCGAAAGCCCCTATTATTATTATCTCATGCATATTTTTACTTTATTTATTTATTTAAAGAAGACACCAAACCAATGTATAGTTGACAATTTGAGGCTTAATGCTACAGAAAAGCAATAAAAGTTTTTTTCAGGAAGAGTGTTTTTAGCTAGTTTTTTATATAAAAATATGGCATGTAGTTGCTTCAAACAATAGTAAAGCTATTCAAAACATCATTCAATGTAAATTGTCATAATCATAATTAATATTTTAATCGCAATTACAATTTTAAGGGAATATTCGACAATTATGATTTTTGTCATAATCGTGCAGCCCTAGATTTAGAGTTTCCTAAGGATCCACAGAAAAGGTGTAGAAAGTTTTAAAGGCTATTTTAAGAACAGCCTCTGGTGATACGCAGAGGTCTGAATTCCCCATAAGCTGGAGAGGTCACATGTTACATTAGTTACATTGTCACTAGACTCACATTGCACAAGTAAAGTTGACACAGTTCTCTGCAGTGCAACCCTTTTCTGAGTACTTACCTAAAGATAACCATTGCAGTTTTACAGGGGGGACATGCAAGCAGGAAGATCTGCAAAAGAGGAAGTAATAAAGCTCAATAACGGACTCTTTCAAACAAAGAAAATATAGATAAAAGATAAATGCAATCTTTGATCCATGGGCCAAATTGTGCTTATCAGTACATGTTTATCACATTTTCAATGGCTAAGTGTTAATCAAAGAGACGTTTAGCTACTGAAAAATCGATCCCTGAAGATAACAACACCATTTTGGACCAGTTCAGTGTTGCATTCAGAACCATTTTCAAACCAACTTGGATTATGTAGCACTTTGATTATGGCAGAAATATATCTATACATTCTCTGATCATTTTTATTTTACTTATTCTCATGTAGCAATACAAACACACCAATTCAACAACACCATCAGCAAAAAAAAAGAAAAAAAAAAAAAAACCCTGTTAAAATGACAAATGGCGTTTGTAGGCAAGGTGTTTTCCATTTAAACAATCTTTTTTTCAAGAATTATTTCAGATGTTTCTTTTATAAATTTCAGATAAATTGTCATTATTAAAATAAATTTCAATGTTTACATTTTAGAGTTTTTTGTTTACTTTCATATGATAAATCAATTTTGTTGGTTAAGAACACTATGAGAATATGGTTCTTGCAGTCTTTTCTTTCAGTGCTAAAGGGAACAAAGGATGGGCTGTGAGCCATGTCTACTCCTGGGGTCATGATAGTAGTTGAACAAACTCAGGGTTACAGGATTAGTTTTGAGTTGATTAAACCAAACCAATCCAACCAGGCTTTGTTGGTATCATGATGCTGATCATCAACTTTCTCTATCAACTCAGGCTTTGATCCTGAGTTTAACAGTTTAGGTGTGACATCAGTCGTGAACAGCCAATCACATGCTGAAAAAGAGTGAAACTGAGAATCATTTCTCACTAGAGAAGCAGCACAATTCACTACAGAATATTATGAGATATTAGAAAAGATAAGAAAAATATAAAGAATTTAAGCAAATTTACACAGCAAGAAAATATCTACAGTATCTATGAAAGATGACAACTAAAATAGTCTTGCTATATCAGTGCAAGTAAAAGTTGTGAAGTTAGTTTAGACATTTGATAAAAGTATAGAACATGTAACATTTAAACTCACATGTAGTCATTTTATAGCTTTATTGATTACGCAGTTCAAACTTATCCCGATTTAGATATCGGGATAAGTTTGAATCGGGAAGTTAATCGGGAACTTATCCCGATTATGTGTAAATAACCCCTGTTAACTACATCTCACCATGTAACAGTGATTGGTGTAATGTGCAATTTGATTCTAAAGTCCATTTATACTTTTTTATACTCATTCAATTAAACTGTGCGTAATAATAATTGATATACTAAAATTGTACATGCGTGATCGGTTAAGGGTACAATAATCATATAAATAATATCTAAATCATACAAAATTATTATTCCAAATAAGCATTACAATTTTTATCTTAAAAAAATTATTTGCTGTATAGTGATCTTTAATTTGGAGTGGAAACAAGTGGAGTGACTATCGCATCAGACGCGTCACTTTGCTCACACTTGATTGGTCCAAGTTCGGTTTGAGATGTCTTACCTGGAACATAACCTGCCCCGGACCAGGTTAGCTGTGGAGTGTAAGCTACTATGGCGATGAACACCACTAAAAGCCAAACCATTTTCATGGTGCCTAAAACCCAGGGTTGACGCAAACTAAACTGAAAGCTATCTGGCTAGCCACCTAAACTTCATGGATTCATGGTATAGACCCCAGGGTTAATGAGATCACAGACTGACATTGATTAGGATATGCTGGCAGGGTAGTCAGCGTTTCCCACTTTGAGAGGATGACACAGGAAGGAAGGAAGTTGAATCCTCCTGTCAGCAGATGTCATCATCCCAGGTGAGTCAAACTAGAGCACAATCTGACGTCACGTTACAGGATGATACCACTTTCACTTTCTTGTGTAATATGCTCATCCTGAGATGGAGTAAAAAGTTGGATAACACTGTTACAGAAATACTGCAATTAAGATCATAAAACAATGTTTTTTCCATTCCTTTTGAAAAAATTTCAAGGGCTTATTTAATTAAATTATCGTTTTATTAAATAAGCAAATAGAGTCTAAACTCTCTTTGGGCATTTTCTAAAGAATATACAAGTTGCAAAATTTGCTGACATGATGCAAGGGTGTTTTGGAATGGTTTCTATGTATGCCTCAATTTCATGAATGTCTGAAAATCCCCAGTGAACCACTTAAAATGAAAACTTTATAATTAACAGTTATTTGAACTTATCCCGATTATGTGTAAATAACCCCTGTTAACTACATCTCACCATGTAACAGTGATTGGTGTAATGTGCAATTTGTTCTTTATACCACTAATGCAACAAAATCGTATGAAGACATCTAGCTATTAGTTAATAATTTAAAAAGGGAAGTATTGTGTTATTCCTCTGGATGTAAAAAGAGAGAGTGTAGAAACAGTGAACTGAGTTGCACCTAGATTAGGGTTAGAAAGTATTTCATCCAGCCTATATCCTTTAAAAAAGATCTGTACAAGCAATTATACGTCTCATGCATGAAGCAGCCATCAACAAGCCTCATTCACACCAGAAGCATTATGACTTCCTCACCCATATGTCATTTCAAACCATGTTTTGTTGTTTTTGTTTATCTTTCTTAAACAGAACACAAAAAAAGTGAATGAAAGTGATTGTAGGCCAGGGCTATTGATAACGTCTTTGTCACTATTCAATTCTAATCTTCTCCATCAAAGCTCTGAAATAGCAATCATGTTTGCACTGCCGTTTCATGTCTGCTGGGCCAGACTGATCTCATGAAGTAGCGCGTGTATGACACGCCAATTCGTATTTCCATTTTTGGCGTGCTGCTATCAAGACGCATAATCGCCTGTCAGCGTGTTTATGAACGCCATTGACTTAACGTTATATAAATATATGACTTACCTCAACCCCGTCCCTAAACCTAACCATCACTGGGGTTAATGGCATTTATGACTGTTCCCTTACCATCCTAGGTAAAAAAAAAGATATGACTTACCTCAACCCCATCCCTAAACTTAACCGTCACTGGGGTTAATGGCATTTATGACTGGAGATTTGACTGCATGTACAGACACGCGGAATGACGCGGACGTTAATGGCGTAGACATATACGCATACACGCGGATACACGCGGATAGTTCAAAATGCGTAGAGATGACACGCCACCTGACTCGAAAGTGGCGTATATGTTTACGCAAAAGTCATGATGTCATGTTGGCTGGGCAGACAACAACACAAAGCAATTATTGTATATATAGTCTGTGTAGGCATCTACTGTACATCAGTGTCTTCTTAACTCCTATACCTTTAGCTACTCCTGCTACATTTTTTTGGCATTTATTGAGGCTGACATAATTCTGCTTTACATGCCCTAACTGGTGCAATTACACTGTCAAATTAACAATTAGATTGCTTTGTTTTTCATGAGACAGAAGAGAAAATATCATGAGAATAAGGTTTGGAGGTACTTTAAAAAAAGTTTGTTATTGCTACAGTCAATAATGTTTCAGTTACATTCTGTATGCACAGAAGATTTATAAAGCAAGTTGCTTTCCCCTTTAGACATTTTTTATCGTTAATAATGATTTTATAATGTCTAATCAAATCTACATGGAAACTTGGGAATACTCCTTATGTATGTTATTGGTTTAGCACTTCATTGAATGATCTGTTTACAATTCCCCACTGTTCTGGCTTTATTATTTACCTGATGATAAGAATGTGACCTTGTTCAAATATTGTAAAACTTGTACAAATAAGTTTATTGACATAAGTGGAACTATGAAGTTACAATGAGATGTTGCGTTTGAAAACACGTGCCGAGGCGAGAACACATATTTGAGGCCTAAAGTGGCATCCGTGGCCTAGTGAAAGACGCGCATCCGGGGACTGGTCTGCGCTAACGGAACAAGGATTTCCTGACCTAGTTGCACAATATGAAAAATAAACTCACATAGATGACAGGAACTTTCTCATAAACCAGTCATTTACAATAAAATGTGTATGTCTGAGTAATATTTAAAATATTTACACCTAATATAGCTGATAGTATTCATTTGATGGTGCTTCTTGTCCATTAAATTTCCTAAAACTTTTGTCATTAGATTAGCTTTGCAATCTGTGTGTCTTTTGCAACAAGTACAAGAACATCAAGACAGAGAGATGTTCCAATCCAAAAGATGCATGTTTGCATTTTTAATATATTAAAATATTTAACAATGTTATGTATTTTAGCATAACTATTTGTTTGTACCGTCATTGATTAGTTACTTGCATAAGTTTCTATGTGGCATGTGTTAAGTTTTAGCAACTATTTAGCCATTTTTTATTGTTATAAAAATGATTTTATAATGTCTAATCAAATCTAAATGAAAACTAAATGAAACAGGGATTTGTTGTTTATTTTAATGTTACATGTTAAGAAATAATTAACATAATGATGAATGAAGCCCCTGCAGTTTCCTCACAAACCCCTGTTTGGCACAGATGAATCTAGATTAATGTTAAATTTAATATTATTCATTAATTCATTGTTATTTCAACTGAATCACAGACCACTTTGATCAGTTACTGCAAAGGTGAAGAGATTAGCTATCTTTGTACAAAAAAAACAAACACACACACACACAAAAACACCTCCTCAAAGAATTTCTGTTGAAGCAACAAACAACTCCTTTTATAAATAGCCACTGTTTTTAACCACTTCTGTTTTTAGCTACTTTAACCATAAACAGAACCAGTTGAGTACAACTTATATTTGAGAGGTTAAAGAGAAATTACTGCAGTACCAGCCCTTTTCAGTTGCCAAATGAACTTGAATGTGAAAAAAAATATCTGTTATAGAAACTATGTTTCTGGTATCATCACACTAATAAGGTTCCATCGATTTAAAGAGTATATTTTAAAACGCATATTATAGTTAAACACCAGTATATAATACATCAGTAATGCGTAGATGACAGGGACAGCAGTGCTATACTTTATCTAAAATAGTGTTTTATAATTTTTGAATTATAACACAGTACATGCAGTTTTCACAACCTTAAAATTGAGGCAGAGGTGAAAGATCTATTATCACCAAGTAAAAATAGGAGTCTTTTCTTTGCACTGTATAAATAGTATTAGATGCAAACAGTGGCAAATACTTTTTGCACCTCAGTGTATTGCAGTACTTTATAATATAGTATAAAATATATAGATTGTGATGATTATTCAGTAAATATGTAAAAATTATGGTCGATGTGCCGATGTCCGATCAACGCTAGGACACTTTTCACTTTTCAAATATTTTCTTCATTTTTATGTAAAATAAACACTTCTCTGAGATAATATGCATTGGGAAAGGGAAAAGAATGGGATCAGCAAAAGAGTTGAACTCGTGATGTTGCATCAAAAACTAAATTAATGTTCCAATCGCTGTCCAGTTACCGGTTTAGCTCCTTTTGCAATTTTGTGTGGCTCAACCAAGACGGAGATGGTGTAAACAGCATTTGCAAACGAGATGGGCTATGTGGACATTCTGTAAACATAAACTTGATTGCGTTACTTCATAGAATTTTTAACTTTTTAAAAATGTATTAGTCACCACAGCAAGATCATTTAAATCAGGAATGCCCAAGCCTGTACGCAGAGAGCGACCTTCCCGAGTGCAGTTCCAACGCTTCAGTCGAGTCCGATATAATATCATCAACAGTTTCTGGGAACCTTAATTAGCCGATTCAGGCTGCTTGATTAGGGAAGAAGCTGAACTTTGCTGGATGACTTTAGCCATCACAAATGTTTATTTCGACTATCATGTCAATCTGGTTTGGCCATCACAATTCATATTTTAATTTGGACCAGTTACAATACTACAGTAGTAGACCAACATTTGAAATGGATCATCAAAGTTGTCCTAAGACAAGAACAGGTGTTGTTCAAAGTTCATGTATAACTTTGATGAAAGGTTTTTTATCCACTTCAAATGTTAACTGCTGTATTTGGGCCAGTTACATGGGTGTGTTACTTCAGAGTATTCTGCATCACAATTTCTTTTTCCAAGTATGAAAGCAATAAGGAGGAGAAATTGTACACCAGTTTAAACAGGCCGCTGCAAATAAGCGGTGGAAAAAGTATACTTTTTACAACCAGGAGCTATTGGAAGGTATAACAAGTTATGATTCGCCTCTAGCTATGTGATATGCAATTAAAAAATAAATAAATTACCAGTGCATCCAATGACACTCAAAGCTTGGAAACTAAAGGAAATAAATTGCCGTAAGTCTTCACGACTTCAGAATCATTAGCTAGTTTAACCAAAGCAACTTATGATACACTAAATACAGGTTCAGATCCTTCAAGTAAGCTGAAGTTGAGTGTTTTGTTCAATGCCACAGCATTAATGGATGAAGCAACCCTTTGGGATTTTGAACCTGCAATCTTTCAGTTACCAGCCCAAATCATCTGCAATATAAGCAGAACCACATCTCCAAAAAATATTATGATTGTATCATAAATATACTTACTTGCACCATTGTGACCACATGACATGGATTGAGGAGGTAGATCACAGTCTTTGTAGCAAACTTAAACCCAACCTCAACACCAAAAGTCATGCACAGAGCCACAAGCAACAGGTTCTTGCCCCAGCTGTCTTCCTTACTCTTCCTGCCATCTCTCCCAACATCTCGGACCTCTTTGGGGACATTGAGCTTCTTCAAGGCCACCACCACTTCCAGAATAGAGACCAACAAAATGACCAGAGTCTCCAGTATTCTCTGTTTTGGAGAAAGGAAGGCTGCGCACTCTGGCCCTCCATTGCCCTCAAACATGGGGTCCACACCTCCATAGATCCAGTCCAGCAGACTGTAGATATTATACCGAGACATGTTCCTCTGCTCGTATTGAAAAAGGTACGAACAAGACGGTATAAAGGACAGGACACCAACCTCCTGGCGAAACATTAACTTCAAATCTGTCTTCGATGCAAGAATAATAAAATGCCAAGAAGAAGGGCGAACTCAGCTGTTTCAACAGATCGGCATCCTTTATGTGAAAGACACCTGTGGGAGAGACCTAACGTTCCAAACTCTGATACGGTGTGATATTCACAGATGCTCGTCAGGGCTGGGCTGGAGTTTGAATGCTAGGAGGATGACGCCTTTCCAAACGTAACGTCTTGACTGGTAAACGTTTTCTTCGCTAAGAGGAGAGTCCAGAATATTCCTGGCCAGAGCGGACCATTACATAAAAGCTCCAAAGAGGCTCTTGTTCCGCGCGAGAGGCCTTAAATATATCAACAACACCACACGACCACGACCGATGTGACAGGGTTCGGTGTAACGTTAGCTTGCTGCTGCAACCTATCATCCGATTAAATGCGTTAAAAGCAGAAGATGCGATATACCCAGGTGCATGTGGAGAATAAAAGAGGAACCATAGAAACGCCGCCCTGTTCACGCGGGCCCCCACATCCACCCAGCGCCCACACTGCAACACGCCTGCGCGCTGTTTCCCCCGAAAACCATCAGCATATTGATGTGGCCGAGACGAGTGCTGCTGCACATTTCCTGGAATGGGACTGGTCGAGTGCGGTGGCCCCTCCTTCTTTTCCACAAATTGTTAACTCTCTCACTGCTGGCGTAGCTGTGCTTTTTAGGGTTAGGCCTACAATTTCAAAAATGATAGTGTCCCCAAGTATAAAAATCTTGAAGGCACACTGATTGATAGGAGAGGCATAAAAAGTAGGCTATTTATATTGTGTTACTCATTTATTCAGAGACATGTCAGTTGTATAATTTTATTTTATTATATATATATATATATATATATATATATATATATATATATATATATATATATATATATATATATATGTATATATATAATAGCCTATATATGATTATATGTATGTAAACAATATGTTTTTTTGTAATTTATTACACATTTATAAAAACAGAAGCCATTTTTATTTAAATATAATATGTGACTATATGTCACAGGCTATGTAAACAAATATGCATGTGTGTAATTTGTACATTACATTTATTACAAAGATATGTGTATACTTCAAAATATATAAATATTATGAGCCTACATTAGGCAAGGCAAGTTTATTTATAGCACATTTCATACACAGTGGCAATTCAAAGTGCTTTACATGGAAGAATTAAAGAAGTTAGAATAATTAAAACAGTTTAGAATTAAAAAAAAGCATGGTAATAAAATAAAATACAGTGTCGAAAATAAAATGTACAGTACAACAGTCGGACGAACAGTGGCACAGTGCTCATTCAGTAAATGCAATCAATATAAATAAAAACAGTTAAGAGTAAAAATAAAATAAAATAAAGTAATACCCCATCTGAGATTAACATTAACATAATATTTATATTGGCTTGATTTATATGTCAATATATTAAATTGTTTTTGCTTTATATAAGTGGTTTATTTAAGTGGGAAAATTGCTTTATATAAGTGGGAAAACAAGTGATGGGATTAATCTCTCAAACCATATCCAATTAGAGATCGATGGAGGCGTTATCTCCTCTCATATGACCTTACCTGCAGGTGTCGCTATTGGACAGTATTATTAGAAAACAAGTGTGTCACATTTTGTAATATTTGCATTGTTTTATTTTTCTAATATTCTCATGGCTATGTGCTTTCTTGTCATTTGTTGTGTTTGAAAATATGGGTTATATGGTTATAAACACAATAAATGACAAGAAAGCACAGCCATGGGAAAGAAAACACAAAGCAGGTTGTGTCAACCAACACAAGACAAAGGATCCTGTCATAAACCCCAAACAGTTACAGGACTCTAAGCATCAGCCAATAAATTGTGTGATTTTATACAGGCTTCAGACACTAGCACAGTTGAAATTCATAATTTTCCTGTTTGTAAAGCTGCTTTGAATCAATCTGCATTGTATAAAGCGCTATATTAATAAATGTTACTTGACTTGAGCATCTTGTTCCTTACTCAGGGAACAGGAGTTTCATGTGTAACCCACATGTTTTTGGGAGGAGAATGCTGGCCACAGATAAACCTGGGGTCAGAAATAAAAGCCATAGCCAGATATGTTTCAGCTTAGTTTGTGCCGACCCTGGGTTTTAGGCACCGTGATAGTGGTTTGGTGTCACGGGTAGTTGCAGGAAGGCAGACAAAGATAAAAAAAAAAAAAATAAAGTTACAATATGAAGTTTAATGAGGATAATACAAAATAGTAATCAGAAGGGCAACACACTCTGAATGCAACATAGACCGAACAAAGAATGAATGTGAGGGATATATTTATACAACAAACACAAACAAGGATAATTAATTGAACATGCATGACATTTTCTAAGGGCTTCATTATGGGAAAAACTGAATGGCGAACACATTCATCTCACATTTTGCTGATTCACATTTGCAACATTTTGCATACATTCAGATATTTCAGTATTACTTTGATTTCATTTAGGATTTACAATAAGTATTATTTGAACAGAAGAGGTATAAACTATAGGGTACACACACTGAAACATGTGATGTGAACAAGTGAGGACAGACAAATTCACTATATCAAACTAAACCAGTGATTCTGCTTCTCAACTCCTGTCCAGGGGACCCACTGCTTAGCACATTTTGAACGTCTTTATTTAACACACCTGATTCAAAACATCAGCTCATAAGGAAAGAACTGACCTGTGAGTACGTTTACACAAAAACAATGTACTGAACATGGAAAAAGTGTATTGTTTCCAATAAACCCCCACTTTAAAACCCCTTTTTAGTGTAACGTGTAAATGGCCCCTCAGTGTACAAACATGGCACACAAAACAGAAAATAAACATGTCACAGAGAACATATATAACAATTTGCTTTATTACTAGTTCAATTATCTTGCTTGCACTTAACACACAGTGTTTGCAAATGTTTTTTCTTTATTATTTATTTTGTTTTCTGTTTTGTTTTTTTGTGCCCTTTCATGAAACTTTAAGGGGGGGGGGGGTTGACTGCGATTTCACTTTTTTCATTTTAAATAGTGTGTAATGTTGCTGTTGGTGCATAAACAGTATCTGCAAAGTTGCAGAGCTGAAAGTTCAGTGTAAGCAGAGATATCGTCTTTTAAAAATCAGGAAGTATATTGGCTAAAAACAACTCGATTGGGACTACAGCTGGGTTATGGTACGTCACTAACCCACACATTTGCACCAACCCCTCCCTCAGAATATGCAGAAAACGGCATGCGCATATTTCTGAGGCTCGTCGAGTGTGTTGTTCACGCAGCTGTCAGGTCTTCTGTGTTCGGGCTTCCCATGGATGCTATACTTCCTCAACAATGGTTTATGTTTGATTATGTTCCTGAAAATGACGATCGTAATTTAGCTCTCTGTGCTGCGCATTTCACGGAAGACAGCTTCCAGAATCTCCACGAGTTCAACACCGGATTCAACAAGAAACTGTTACTAAAACATGAAGCAGTTCCGACTTTTTTTTATTTTATTTTTTTTATTTAGCCTTTTTTTAACCAGGAAAAAAAAAATCCCATTGAGATTACTAATCTCTTTTTCAAGGGAGTCCTGGCCAAGACAGCGGTACAGATCACAACAATTTAGTACATTACAGACAATTTTATAGCAATTTCATAAGACTATTTAAAACATTCACAAACCATAGATTTCATTTCCAAACCTTTGAGCAAGAGTTTAAATTGGCCTATTGAAACCAGTTCCTTTAATTTCCAGAAATGTTGTAAATTGTTCCATGTTGTGGGGGCAGAAAAGTGAAATGCCACCTTACCAGCTTCTGTGCGGACATTTGGTACAGACAGTAGCAGTGAGTCTTGTGAGCGTCAAGAATATAGTCCAGCCCCTTTTGGTTGAATGTATTCACACAAATATGAGGGGAGCAGACGCAGAATACCCTTATAAATAAACATATACCAATGACTGAGTCTACGATTCACAGTGGTGTGTGCGAGGCTTACAGTTTGTGATGAACCTCAATGCGGCATGATAAACAGAGTCCAGTAGTTTCAATACTTGGATCGGGGCATTCATATAAATGAGGTCACCATAATCCAGAATGGGTGTAAATGTTGCAGCTACAAGTTGCTTTTTTGCACTGAAAGAAAAACATAGCCTATTTCTAAAGTAAAAGCCAATTTTTAGTCTCAGTTTCCTAACCAAATGTTCAACATGACCTTTAAAACTAAGACTGTCATCAATTAAAATACCTAGATATTTAAAAGATTTAACTCTTTCAATTGCTGCTCCTTGAAGAGTGACAATTGGAGGACTTACAATATGTGCAGATTGCTCTTTGCTTTTGAGAATAACATCAACTTGCTCTTATTTGCATTTAAAGTAAGATCCAGTTGTGGGAACATGTTTTGAACTTTGTTAAAAGCGTTTTGTAATGCAGAGACACTGGCACTAAGACCCCGTTTACACCTGGTATTAAAATGCGATCTGTATCCAGATAAGTTATCCGGATAATAAAAAACGCATGTTAATGCAAGGTGTAAACGCGTTGTGATCGGATCGTGATCGGATCTGCCTGACCACATCTGGAGGTAGTCTGGCTCGCATTGTGTCCGGATCTTTACTAGGTGTAAACGCAATCTGGTTGTTGAAACCACATATGTATATTTTACTCCTCCCAAAAATGCTAAAAAAATAAACGAGTGAGAGCGTGTTATATAGGCCATATGTCATGTTATAGCCTAGTCAGATGCGACACGCGACACATCACCGCAGATGAGCAGCTGAGCGTCTATTCAACGTGCAAACATCGCAAATAAAAGTGAAAGTAAGTCACAGACGCAGTTAACACATCTTCAAGTAAAGAAACGAAATTATCTTACCAGGCCTGTTGCCACTCTCTCTTATTGATGTCTCTGATTTGGAAATTAGCTGATGATCAATAAAATGCCGCTCAGATCTATTCTGTTGCTTTTGGTGGCGTGCAATCCAATAAATCTGCATATAACGCAGGAGGTGAAGATCGGATTTATATCCGTTTTGCAAAAAAACATTTATGTGGCCAGGTGTAAATGGAATCAGTACTTATTATCCGGATAACTTATCTGGATACAGATCGCATTT